GGGCGGGGCGTGCGGGCGGGGCGGGGCTTCCCGGCTGCGGATTTGGCGCGGGCGGGGGAGGAGGGCGAGCCGCGTCAGGGCCGCAGGCAATCCGTTTTCTGCGTCTGAGCACGCCGAGCGGTTCCTTCTTCCCTTTTATGCTTTTTTCATCGCGTTACTGTGACTTCATGGCGTTGCTTATGTGGGATCGCACCAGAGTCCGGCCCCTTAGGGAAAGAACTGGGGGAGCCACCGTTGACTGTCCCCCGCCCCTCCTCAGCTCATCCCGACAGGGAGGAAGACTTTGGCCTGTGCATCTTCAACGCGAGCACTCCCAGGCTGCGGACATCCCTCAGGACCGAACAAGGGTGACCGAGGTCTGGAATTTAAGAGGCCCTCCCCTCCTCACAGTGCACCCGGTGGATCCTCGGGAGTGTCCGGGTCTCGTGGGCAAACGGTTCTAAGTGACCTTGTGAAATTGCAGCCTGATCGGTTTCCCCTTCTCCCTTTTCAAAACTCCTACGATCGTGCATCACGTGATTCCAGCCTTGGCTTGATGCTGCCAACAGACCTGGTGAAGACAGCCTTCCAAAAGAAAGAAGCTTTCTGCGTTGGAAGAGAAAGAGCGAACTCCCCTCAGATTTTCTTCATTGTCTGTTTGGGGGTTGAGCTCAGAACCACCAACCAACTCATGGTCTTTCAAGTGAATCTAGCATAAGGTGACTAGACGTCCCGCTTTTGGCGGGACAGTCCCAATTTTTAACAATTTTTCCCGCGCCCCGCGTCATTTTTAAAAAGTCCCGATTTTTTGGAAGAATGCACGACAAGCTAGGGTAGACGGTTTTCAGCTGCCATGAGGCTATTTCGCCAGGATATGAGTTTTATCAATGGTGTCCCGCTTTACCAATGTTAAAATCTGGTCACCTTAAGAGCGGTCTCAAATACTAGGTTTAAAAACTTGGCTTGTTTCTTCTCCCGCCTTCTAGAGTTGTGGTGGGTGGGTCCTTGAGGTACTGCGGAGAGAGCAGCTCTAGAACTTGGGGGCAAGATCATGTTGAAACTGCAAGCGACTGTTCTTCTCCCCTGACAGGGATTGGCGCACGTACTGCTGACGAATCTTACACATTCGATAAGGTAAACAAAAGCAAAAATAATGCAAGATAAGACGTGGCAGGTAGTCATGCCCTAGCAGAAGGGCAGGGGTGTGCTTAAAGCCTAAAAAGGAAGAACTTGGGGAGAATAGATGCTTGACAATTCTCCCAGTTCCTTCTCGGAAATAAACAGGACTGTCCTGAGTATTCTTGAGACTGCAGAGCTGTGATTAAGCAGGAACCACCCTTTAACTCCAACTGCTTGATTTTAGCTTATTTTTCTTTAAGCTTATGTTCACCAAGTAGGCTTATATGCACCAAGTAAATCTTATGATTGCAAGCACTCCTCACTCATCAACATATGTCCCGTGCCATCTTGGGAAAATCAGTGTTAGGCAAATGGGAGGCTGACCACATCAGATCACAAGATGGATGCTGACTACATCAGTATAAAACTGGAGATCATGGCCACTGTGTTCGTCTGGGTGGACTAGAGAAGCAAATCCATAGAAACACTCATGTATATAAGAGAGTTTTATATAAAGGGTCATTGTCCATTAAGAAAGCATCCCAGTCCAAGCCCATAAATCCTATATTAACCTTTATGCCTGATAGCAATCTATAAAGTCCTCTTCAGACTCATGAAACACATGCAATGATGCCAAATGCAGGACGATCACAGGCCAGTGGGTAGAAAGTCTTTGGATCCAGTGGCATTGTAAACATCTCAGTGCTGGCAGGGGTCTCTACGTGGCTTCTCTGGCTCCAGAGGGCTGGTTGCATCAAGGTAGGTCCATGTGGCTTCTCCAGCTCAGGACACTAGCGTAGTTCCATGTGTCTTGTCAGCTAGAGTGTCTCCAAGGGAGACAGCAGAGAGAGTGTGTCTCTATCTTCAAGGAGGAAAAGCAGCAGTTCCCAGAATTCTCAGGAGCAGGTCATGCCTACACAGAGGTCTCATTGGCTATCACCAGATTGACAGGCTAGACTCCACCCCTACACTCCCAATCCTCAAATTGACACCAGATTAGGTAACTACCACAGCCACTAAGAATCATGGCCCAGCAAAGGTGACACATAACCTTAACCACCACAGTGAGCACTACTCCACAGTACTTCAGTATTAATTACTGCCAGATGTGCATTGTTACTGTGCAAAATAGAATTTTTAAGAATAATTTTTGTAAATATGAGATCTTGGATACGTCTATAAGTGTGGAATCGGCTGGTTCCTCTGGTTTCTGTATTCAACATAAGTGTTCTGTTGCCTGGAAACATATAATAAAGCAGCATATACTATTCCTCCTGAATAGCCCTCAAATCTTTCCATTCCTGTGCATGGTAATTGACATAATTCTGGCATGCCCTGTTCGCCTAGGATTATTGCTAATCTATCGACTGGTTTTGCTGGTGAGAGTTGGTTTTTTAACCTGGGCTCACCCCTGCATGGCCATCCTGTGTCTAGGGTTCTCATGTTTTTCTTCCTCCCTCACCTCCTATTCATGGGTCCCTACTGACGTCAGCAGAAAATGGGCTCTGGGCCTTTCATACACTTAAGGAAACTCTGAGGATGCTTCTTAAAACACACAGTCTCAGACTCATGAATCTAAATTACCAGTAGGATCTGAAAGTCTGTATTTTTCCCAAGAACCCCGGGGAATTTTTATCGCATATAAGAATTCAGAAATATGCCTAGATGGAACCAACTAACTGCTGCTTCCAGAGCAATCTCCTTTTTTGCCCGCAGTTTTGGACATTCCTGGAACACCCCCCTCGCCCCAAACTCCCACTCCTTAATTGACCTAGTCCTTCATCGAAGTCTGTTCTGGGAATTCAGGCTTATTTCTCACTCGTCGCTATGCCACCACCATTTTGATATCCCATCCATTCTTACAGACTGGCTCTTCTCAAACCACTGCCATTGAGTTGATTCCCACTCCTCTAGGACAGGGCAGAACTGGCCCTGTGGGTTTCAGGGACTGGGAATCTTTGTGGGAGTACACAGCCTTCGTAGTTTTGAAACTGAAAGGGGTTACTTCGAATACAACAGGACAAAAGGCATACACCAGAGCTATCTCAGGCAAATTATGTATTTGTTTCTCTATCTGCCTCCCTTCAGGACCTTACGTTTCTGAAGGACAACAGCCATGTCCTTTATATAATTCAGAGATTAGTACAGGGCCACACACTCAGGAGAGATTGAACTAAATACTCTAGTTTACAAACAATCCTGCGGAGTTTGGCGAAAGTGGCATAAATTCCTAAAACCTGACTCCTATAGAAATCAAGCTGATGAACGAGTAAAGAACAGTGAGGGTCCCCAACAGTGAGGGTGCCATCGAGCCAGTGCTGACTCACAGGGACTCCACAGGGCAGGGTTGAATATCCCCTTTGAGTTTCCAAGGCTGTAACTGTTCACAGGAGTAGAAAGCCCCATCTTTCTCCCCAGGAGCCGCTGCTGTTTTCGAACGGCTGACCTTGTAGATCGCAGCTCCACACGTAACCACAACGCCATCAGTGTTCTTTGAGTAAGATAAAGCCAATCTGTATTGCAAACTTTCTAAATGAATGCTGCAACTGCCCTAGATTTTGAAAATCACTCCTCTGCCAGTTTTTGGACTTCACGTGAACTATGATGTAAATAACTATTCAACAGTTTGAATCCATTTTATTTGCCGGAAGTCCAAGTAATGAGGTTATCTGATGTATCAGTTTTCCTGAAATTAGGGGTAAGAATGGGCAATGTTTTGACAACATATCCTAACCAAGGTCAACCGTCACTGTGTTGCTTCTGCCTCAGCTCCTTGGAGCAGAATGGCTACAAATATGAGGGGGATTCAAGAAGTTAGTGGGCAGGGAGGGGGAAGGGAGAGAAAGGGGGAACCATCACAAGGCCACCCTCCCGAAGGGGACCAACAACAGAAATGTGGTGAAGGGAGACACCAGACAGTGTTATATACGAAACAATAATAACAATATATAATTGATCAAGGATTCATGAGAGTGGGAGGGTCGGAGAGGGAGGGGAAAATAGAGGAGCTTATACCAAGGGCTCAAGTAGAAAGAAAATGTTTTGAAATGATGATGGCAACATATGTACAAATATGCTTGATACAATTGATGTATGGAATGTTGTAAGAGCCCCCAATAAAAATGATTAAATTTAAAAAAGTAGAAAAACAGAATGAAAAGAAAATGGACTTTTTCCATGAAGTTTTTTGAAGACCCCCGTCACACATGACCAAGTAGCGCAGCAAAACGTATTTGCTCTTGAAGTGTTGTAAGCACGTAAGCACTGCCCTTTCTTCTCTCCCTTCTTGGGGTGAATACACCATGGAAATCTACTGGGTCACTCCTTTGAAACACTCGACAAATACTTGGCAGCTAATTGATGATCCAGAGGAGTGCACAAGAACAGACACTTACATAAAGTATAAGCAAAACAAGGGAGCGCTGGAATCAGTGACACTGGGTTATGTGTTAGGCTGCTAACTGCAAGGGAGCAGTTCATCCCCAGCAGCCCTTGCTCCACGGGAGAGAGCTGAGGGTGTCTCCTCCAATGGGGATTTCCAGCCTCAGACACCCAAAGGGGCAGTTCTGCTCTCTCCTACAAGGTCACGGTGAGTCGGAATC